GAAAGCACCTTTTTACTTCTACAGCAGTTGAAGTACCTTACCCTGTTGATGGCTCTTAAACCAGAGAGGGATATTAGCAGGGCTTTTTCAGCTAGGAGTCTGTGCCTATGAGCTTCACCCAACCAGCAAGAGAATTTCCTTATTGAGAGACATTCCATAATTTTTATCTTGTTTGGAAGGGAGTTCAGATCTTTAATGATCAGAGAAAGGGGTAAGGGTCCTCTGGAAGTCTCATGGGATCTAAGTTCTATGTGTATTGATCGAGTAAGGTTTTGGACCAATGTTTCTAGGAGCTAGTATGTACTGATGAAAGCCTGCATTATTTTTGGCGCACTGGCTTTTTGAATTGTTACAAGCTTTTCTCATATATTCATGATGGCTTTTTTTATTTTTCAGATTTCTTTCGATGGCATCTATGCAAACATGAGAATGGTTCACATACTTACATCAGTTGTTGTAAGTCTTCATATTTGGAAGGAGGGTGAACAGTTTCTATAGTGGCATAGAATTGTTAACTAGTCCACTAATTGTGATATAATGGAGTGAATATTAAACTTTAACAATAGGCATCTTTTGCCAAGATTGAACTTTAAAGAATCACAGTAATAGCTATTCTGTATTTTTGGCTTGGAAAGGTTCAAATACAATTTGCGGAGGTATAGCAGATTTCTTAGGTGCACTGTCATATTTTGAATTTTCTGTCTTTAGAGAGGTTATGGATAAATAAAATGAGTCTGTGTGCAGGGAATGGAAGCCTTTCTCCCCACATTTCAAGGGTAGTTTTGACATGGCAAAATTAAGTAAGACAGACTGTCCCACATCTGCTAGAGTCCAGGATAAGTCTTCATCCTTATTTGTACCCACACATATGCACAGATTTTGTTTTTGCACAAAAACTTGTTTGTGTGCATAACTGGTCAAGAGTCTTGTGAGTACCAAATGTGCTTCTGTGAGTATCTTTAAATCCCTTCAGAACAAATTTTGGTACACACCCAGCTGTTTGCATCTGCAGAACACAGTGGTGTATTTATAAATGGGCAAACGTTGAATGAGTAGATTTGACTAAAAACTGAGGTGTATTTCTACACATTGTACTTACATAAAAAAATATGTCTTCGAGAAAATCACTCAAATGTCATTTGTCAGGCTGGTAGAAAACTGTGTTTTCAATTTTCTTGCGTTCTAGGGATCCAAATGTGAAGTACAGGTGAAAAATGGTGGTATATATGAAGGAGTTTTTAAAACCTACAGTCCTAAGGTAATTTTTTTCATTTTTACTCTTCCCTATTTTAAAAGATCCTAATACTTGATTAATCAATGTTTGATTAAAATTTGAATATTTATTATGAATTGTTTTGACTATTCATGTCTAGGTTTACACAAGCAGATTCATTTTTGCAAACTATTGTAAATGTCTGTTTTTTGCAAATATGTGAAGTTACCGTGTAGTTATTGTGCATTAAGTTAGTGTATTCTTTTTATATCTCTAATAGTGTGATTTAGTGCTTGATGCTGCTCATCGGAAAACTGCAGAATCCAGTTTGGGCCCAAAGCGTGAAGACATACTAGAGAGCATCTTGTTCAAGTCTTCAGATTTTGTTATGGTGCATTTTAAGGATATGGATACCAATTATGCGAGAAGAGGTATACTTGTTTTTAAAGTTGTCTATATCTTAGATCATAAGTCAAGATTTTCAAAGTAGATGCTTTAGGATCCAAAAACTAAAGTTCACATTTAGACTCTTAATTCTTAATGAGTGCGGAACATCCAAATATCCCATTAAAGGCAATGGAAAGAGCGGACGCTCAGCACCTCTCGAAATCAAAAGTTTATCAAAATTTTAAAAATAGATTGCAGAACCTTTGTGAGGGCGCACTGCTTTGAGCAGCTGTTTTAGGTGTCTGGAAAGCAAATCCTTAGTGGTGTTACAAAACATTTTACAGATTTTATGGGAGGCTGGGTTTTTTTTTGTAAATGTCTTTCTAAATTAGTCTATTCAATGTTATATGAGAATCCATGAAAATACAGAGTCTTTATAAAAAGATCATTGTTCAGAGTTGGTGTACATATAAAGTCTGTACTTAGCTAAGTAACTTTTTTTTCTAAACATGCATTCATATAAATATTCTAAAAATACTACTGCAAACGGAGCTAAAATTCTTAGAAAATCCACTGTTTGTTTTTAATTTCTGCTTTACTACTCGTAGATACTACTTCTGTAGGTAAGGCTCTCCAAAATACAGAAGAATGTAGTGAGGTGGCAGGCAAGTGGTCTTAAAATCTTGAATACATGGCTTGAAACTGTCAGAATTAAACGATTTTATAGGCAGTGAGGCAGTCTTCATACTTTTTCTTTTAATGTCTGACCTCCAAGACCCTAATTATTTTTCTGGAACCTACGAAGCTCATAAGTCAGACAGCTCTAGTTCCTTTGGAGATTTTTTTTTTTTTGGGCAGCAAATCTGAAGGGGTTTTATGCTTATGTTCCTGACTTGCTGGGCTAAGGAATAAAAGCAAATACATAGCTTTCTGTGCCGTGGTGTGAAGTTGCGTATGTGTACGTTTTCGGGTTCATCAACAACTGTCACTGGGAGCTAAGTTACTGTAACGCACATGCTTTATTCCCATGTAGCAGTGACTTAGAGATGCGTAGGGACTGGTGGACATTTAATGAGATCTTTCTCTTTTCACCTTGTGTTTTTACGTGCATATGTTTTTGCCTGATTTGAAGCTGAAGAATGAGAAGCTTGTTGTTTCAAGGAATTTGCTTTTACCAGAAGAAGATGCATAACATCAGAGCAAATGTAGTGTTGAAATGCAGATAAGTTCCAGGTTCTGGATGGGACTTTGAATTTAAATTACACGAGAGCTGTTTTGTACGGGGTCTGCTAGGAACATCACTTTAGTGTAAATGCAAACAGGCTGTCCGTTACCCAATCTTTGTAGATTTTGAGCAGACGGAATGAAGAATATACTACTACTACTAGGAATAATTACTCAATGAAAGTTTTCTAGAAGAAAATGACTGCTTCAGGTTGAACAGTTGCTCAGTTCGCTTTATTAGGTGGTCTGTCTTTGAATCTAAGTCTCTTAAGTAGCTGGAGAGGAGAGCTGAAATAAAGCTGTAGAGACTTGGAGTAAGATAAACTGGAAAGCTGCAAAACTCGATAACTCATAGTGGGTAAATTAATCTGCTTTCTATTTTGTCTCAAAAATGTATTATCTCGAAATGACACTTGAAAGTGTAAGTCAGTCTCTGATCACACCTGCAAATTACAGCAATGAAGGGCTTTCTGCTTCTTGGGAAGTTAAATAAGTAAGGATTCAAAAGAATGGAATTGTATGAACCTGCATGCAGGAACCGCTGGCCTTTTGTTCATACAAATAAACCCAAATCTTCATGGTACCGAGTCAGATAAGCCTGTGTGATTCACAGCAAAAACTGACTCTGAACTCCTAGGTGAGGAGGTGGTGCTCCTTGCTGCGTTTGTATTGGGAATGGTTACTGTCTGGTGCCCAGAGAAGTTTGACAGTGTTGCAGTTATCCAGGAACAAATATTTTTAAATTTCCTATCCCTCAATGTTTTTTGGCTTTCACAGACAAGTTAGTAGACAATTTGGACATATTTGGTTGGAAAGGCAAATTGCTCTTGCTTCTTTAAAAATGTAGTCAAACAAAAGGGCACTTCACAAGCACTTTGTTCCTGTAGCAGAGGCTTACCTAAAGTAAGGTTTGTTGGGGTCTGTGTATGTAGTTTCTCCTACCCCTTAGGAGACTACTAGACTTTTGAGGAGGCCTTGAAGTAAACTTAATTTCTGCAAAAGAAACTGTTTTGGAAATTTTAGTGCATCCTGGTTTCCTGGTTTATGTAGGTATCTGGAGTTCTGTGGATTTTTATTCTGGCATTTGCTTCTCTGTTGAGCTGGAGGAGTATGGACAAATGGTGCTCCTGACTGTGGGTCTTGATCTTGTGACTTACCCTCAGACCTGAATAGCAGAGATGTTAGCTACATTGTCTGCCTGTCTGACCCAGTGAGACAGAAGAGACTGTAAGAGTACTGGAAAAGAGCAGCAGGTGGGGAAAAAGGGAATGGGATAGATTCTCCTTTCAGAAGAGTGGAAAATACAATTGTGTCTGAAAGAACCATCTGAAATAGTCTGCCAAGCACCTTTCATTGCTATCGTACTTATGCAGCTTTGGAGCAGTGAGCTGATAATTCATCCTGCAGCTACATCAGTAGTGCGAGTGCAGGGGAGGTAACGACAGTATAGGCTTGGGGTGGGTGAAACCAGCCCTTTTGGAAGCAGCAGTCTTAGATTTGCTTGTGCCAAGCCTGACATTGCACCTTTAGACATACCAGTGGAGAACGTGTCGTGCCTGCCCAGATTGTAGAAATTGGAAGGGTTGGGAGAAAAAGTAGTAGGTCTGCGTAGATAGGGACGTTCTAACAGTTTGTGTCTAAAAAATAAATCTGTCCCTATTTCCTGGGCGCTTATTTGCAACTTTGCCAGTCTGCATAGGCTTTTGTGCTCGTGTAAATTCCTGTTAGGATTCAGAAGGAATGGAAAGGAGTCACCTGAGGGTGTCTCACTGTGGAATTAGGGCTTTCTGCAGTACAGGCAGGCTGATGAATGAAACATGCATTGGAAAACTGAGGTGAAATTGGATTATATCCATCATCCCTCTTTCAAACTATTCTGTCTGCATTTAAAGAGGCACAGGCAGTGTCTTCTGCATGTGGCAGTGGAAATCGGCTGCTAAAAATCCACTCTAATGTGCAAGTTGAAATCCTTGGCTGTACCTTAGCATGTAATGTCTTTCTGTTTCACCTTCTGAGGCAAAGGTGAGGTTTGTAGCTCACAAACCTCTTGTAGCTGCTAGATTACCTGGGCTGCATGATTGTAATAGGAGGGTGTATTTCTCTATGTTCTACAGAACAAGCTCCTAGCAGTGTTTCCTGTAGTCCTAAACGCTGATCAGTTGACAGTGCTGGTTTGCATATGATTCAAATTTGAGTAAGGCCTCAGAGTTGCCTTCTTGGCTTCTCTTTAAAGACAAGACAATTCAACATCATAACTACTGTTAAAGTAAAAGGCTTCTACAATGTTTTTATTGTTTTTTTTTGGCACTGTTACTGCACTCTGAGAAAAATATTACAATCCAATGAAAAAAGACAGAAGAGAATTGGCTATTTAAGTTTTTCCTTGAATTAGCACTGAAAGTGGCATCCTTCCAGAGAAGGTGTTTCAAGGGGAACAGCACTAGGCATATTATGAACAAAGGAAGGAAATGTTGGCTCTGCAAAGCTGGTGGTAACTGGTTTTAATGTTTCAAATCAGTAGTAAGTAGTTACAAAACAAATGAGAGTTTACTGTTGAAACCTTTAAGATGAAACCTCAGTTTTCTTTGGGCCGTTCTAAACTTGATCAAAGCTTGCAGCGTGCAGCATGAACTCCTTTGGCACACTATGCCGATTGGTTTAATAGCATTTGAACTGCAGAGTTGCACTTGATTGCATATTTGTGCTCTTCACCATTAGTAGTTCAAAACATGTTGGTGAAAACAAACATGTTAAACACTGAAATTAATTAAACCCGGACTCTTAATTGCTCTATTCTGGCAATTTTTTCTGTAACTCATTTAATAGCACATACTTGAATTTGCCCAAGCTGAGTTTTTCTCAGAATGTGTATATTTAATTTGCCTTTACTTAATGTGAATTACTGTTGCATAGGATTGTTGTTGGGATTTTTTTTTTCTGGTTAGCAGGCTTTAAAACAAGAAGCGAGGTCTTTGATATCAAACTTCTTTGCTTAGGAGATGTCCCATTAAACAGGTACAGAGGCAGTGGGGGCTAATTGAGTGTTACAGCTCAAGCTCTTTGTTTGACCGGTTTTCATTTGATCTTTAACTTGGGTTTTACCATGTAGAAAAGGAATTGATTAAAAATTTGGCCATGTCAAGGTGTCATGTGAATTGCTCATTCAACAGCTCAGAGATATGAGGCACCAGATAAGGGGGAGGCTGAGCCTGTGCAGTCAGTATCTTGTCTGTTATTACTCTGCCAGTTGGCACTTGTAGCAGCCGTTCATGTTTTAGCTTCTACTTTACTAATAATCTTAAGAGCAGTATTTTTGTTTTGGAAACAATTATTTGTAGAATTTGTTTTTTACATATCTTCTCAATTTTGTTGCTCATTAATTTTGGTAAAGTCTTGTTTGACTTGCTGCATTTTTAATCTTAGTGTCCCGTGTGCCTGCCTAGCTGTTTGTTCCAGGAAAATAGTGATCTGTGCCTTGAGGTACCGTTCTGCTACATTTAAACTTTGCCTGGATGCTCATGAGACCATATTGTCTGACTCAAGTCTGCCTTTGTAGCTTGAATTTCTCTTAACTCTGGATTTTCTCTGAGTTGTAGAGGTTAAACTGATGTTGCAGTCTCACTTGTGACTTTCATTTCAAAGTGAGAGAAATGAAGAGCAGTGAAGCTTCCTGTGCCCCCTGATATACTGGATTCTACTGGGAAACTTAGCATTGACTGTACACATCTTGCTCAGATCTGTAACATTCGTTAGATAGTGGAGTTTTTGTTTTGACTTGGTTCCCCCCCGCCCAGTTCATCTGCATCATTATAATTTTTAACAGCACTCTGCTGAATGTTTATGTGGCTTTTTAAATAAGAAAATTAGTGGGTTGAGTAGATGAGACTTGTTAATCTAGTATTTTATTCACAGTGTTCAGAACGGCACAGTTGTGTATGGAGTTTGTCTGAAGTAATTTAATAAACTTAAGGAAACACCCTTCTGAAATACAGAAGACAACCTCCATCAGGTGCTGTCATCAGTCCTCCTAACTCATATTTGTCTAATCTTATTGGAGAAGAGTTCCCTCTCCTCCCAGTGAAGTAGTGTAGAAGCAAATGTCACGGTTTCCTAAGTGACTTAAGCAGCCTCCAACTTGCATTTGGTGTAAAATGTCCAGTCTGAGAGGATCAAACATGAAACACTGAGTTAGTGATGTTAGGCACAGAAGCAGCACTGGTCTGTCTGGGTTATGGCAGTGTTAGCTATGGGGTATTGATAAGGTAAACTTAGAGTTTCTAAATAGAAGTGCCTTACTTTTGCCTCCCTGTTAAATGTGCTCTTTTGTTACTACTTAACTGTGGATTGAGGTAGCCCTGTGTTACTACGTAGTTTCAGATGACATTTAAACGTATCTTCTGTTTTTATAGTATATTTTAAAAGCTGTTTGTGTGAAGGGAAACTGAGAGACGTTTTCTTTCAAGTTGGTATACCTTAGAAATCTGTAGGCTATTTGGAGGGTGTTTTTGTGAAGCAAAATGGGGAAATACATGGGGCTGTTAATAAGTGGGAACATTGCTGAAGTTTTACTATGGAAATGATCTTTGCAAGGTGGGAGATGTATAATCAGTTTGAATATGTCTGTGACAGGGACTGAAAGAGTTTAGCTTTGCCTGAATTCAGCCATATAATGTGAAAAAATCCACCTGTATTTGTATCTGATGTCTTCCAATTTTTTCTCTCTCCATATCTGTTGTAGTTCCTTCAGAAACAGGTAACTTTTTTGGCAGTCACTCTATGTCTCTGCATCTTGCCTTTCATAATGCTTTTGTTACCATAATATATAACGAAAACTTAATATCTTTGCTCGCACATTTATGGCACTATAAAACATGCATGCGTAACTTCACAGAATCATTTAGAGTATCTTGCAGTTAGTTGATGACTTCTATTCTCACCCTTGATTTTTACCTATTCTGAACAGTTGAAAATGCAACGATTGAAATTTTGCATCAGCACTTAGGTGGTACAATGATACAATGACTCTGTTTCAGAACAGTTTACAAGTAATCCCAGAATGTGCCTGCTAAAGGCATTGCATTTAGTGACAAGCTAAAATACAATCTCACGTGAAAGTGTTAACCTCCAGCTGCATATGGTCACAACCAGGTACTGTCACAACTTTGGTTGGCAGACTATGACATCTCGCAAGGTGATTGATGCAGGTTTTTGCAATTTCACATGAGCCCTAACAGTGGTGTGCCTGGTTAGGTGTCTTTCTTTCATTTCGCTTTCTTTTCTTATTTTACTGATTCTTTTGTATTTGAAATGAATGTTTAGCTAATAAACTTCTCTTATTTTTTCATACATCTTCTATAACATTTTGTTTCATATATGCTTATTAACAATGCTTAATTGCTTATTCATAGTTCCTTTGGTCTTTGCGTATGAGTTGAGCAAGCATTTCATGAGATAGTGCGGAATGTTATTAGGACAGTCTAAGCACAGTTAACTTTTGTGACAGATCATACCAATATATGTACAGAACTTGACTGTGCAATTGGGTAAAACAGGAATAATAAGCTATGTCAGCAGTCTCTCTTAAAAAAATCTTCAGTGATTGTTTAAAAACTGTAACATCAGTGGCCAACTTCATATGTTGTGAAATCTTTTCACGATGGCTTTAAAGTTCATTTTTCTTAGTAAGATTTCAGATCTCGCCAAAAGTTAATTTAAGCCACATTCTTCCATATCTGGCACTGCGTGGTGGTTTGATCTCATCTTTTCTAAAGGTCTGAAATGTTTGCTCCTTATTTTATCAGTAGAATGGTAATAGGAAATTCTAGATTGAAGGCTTATTTATTTTAGGCTTATTTATTTATTTATAAGCTTATAACAAGCTTATTTTATTTTTTTAAAGTTCCTTCTGTTTAAGTAATTTAAGAATTTGCAGGCAGCTCTGAGATTTAGTTGCTTACAAATATAAAAGCTTGGCTTCGTTGATGAATGGCTTTGTACATTTATTTTTTTTACAGCACTTTAGTTACTAGTATTATTCCTTCTTAAGTCTGGTTTGAATGAAACATGAACAAGTGAAAATAAAAGCTCATGATCTTTATTTTTTTATATATGTTTTTATAATTTATATAGACAATAGCAGACCCTTACTGCTTAGTGCACCTAATGGTATACTTATTTTCATATGTCGTTGAGAACAAGAGGTAGAGAGTTTCTGAATGTTGCTGTGTGATTTGGGTAAGCTGCTTCTTGAAAAAGCTCTTGCAGGAAAGACATCTCCATTCATGTCACAGTGGACGGGTGCACCAAGCTAGTGGATAATTGAGTTACACTGCAAAGGGAGTAAAAGTGTGTGCGTGCATGCTGGTGTGTTGAGGAGTTGTGGAAATAGAAGGAACTCAGATATTTGAAGGGAAACTTGCATTCTGCCCATGTATTTAGGGAATGGGATTGGGTTGCATTCATGCTTTTTTGATATTTGCATAATATGTTAGTGTGCAGTTGTGCGGGCTGTTTGGAAAAGCATATTATACAAGTCTTCGGTTTTCTAGAGGAATGGGGATCCTCAGATAGTCTTTTTTTTTTTTTTTAAAGCAAAAACATATATGTAGTTTGTGTAAAATATTTTGAAATAACTGAAAGTAATTACTGCTATTCTTTTGATGCCTTGTCTCGTACTTCAAGTTGAAAAAAAACTATGTAAACAGATATATTAGAAGTTAGTCTGTACTTCCATGGTTATTCTAAGTTTAAAGTAGGCACATTTTTAATGTAGTCCTATTGAATACAGCAACTACAAGAGAAAGTGAATGATGTTTAATGTGTCTGCGATTCAGCTGCATTTGGTTGTTCCTCAGATAAACTAGTGTGTACATCTTCCTGTACTTAAGCAAATTGATTTCATCCCCATCCCTCCCCACTCCGTTGTAGATGCTTTTACTGATTCAGCCATCAGTGCTAAAGTAAATGGTGAACACAAGGAAAAGGATCTTGAACCGTGGGATGGAGGAGAGACCACCGCTACTGAGGAGCTTGAGGCATTAGAGACAGATGTTGTAAGTAATGCTTTTTTATCCTCTATGACAGTCTGTAGAAAATAAGCTATTTCTCGAGACATGCCTTGCAACAATTCCTTAATTTTAATCTAGTAATGAACTTTTGACTAAAATTGCTGGCCTACGTTGTATGGGTGCATGTTCAGCCTTTGCTAGCAGCTGCCACAGTACTTTTTTACAATTTGAATAAGAATAGCTGGATTTCAAATGCCACTTTTGGCAAATATTGACAAATGGCAGCTGCTGTGGTAAGGGACGTCTTTGACTTATGGACTGGCTGAAAGAGGCGCTTTTATTAAGGACTCCAAATTCAGCAATACACAGAAGTGATTTATGTTTAATCAGAGCATTCCTGTCTGACTATCATTGCATTTGGAAATTATGGCGAAATTGTGCTTAGCTAACTGTTTCTGAGCTAAGATGAAGGAAACTGACGGCAGTCTGACCCATGACTTAATAAGCACAGATACAATCTCAATAGATTATGAATCGTTAGATGAAGAGTATGGTCTCAAATGACATTTCCTTGTATATCATAGCAGTCAGCTTTTACTCAACCATGCATTCTTTTTAGTAAGGTATTCAGACTGCATATGTTAAAGAAAGAAGATAATATTACCGATTAGAGGAGAATCTAGTCATGTTACTGTGGAGCATATTAACTTTGTCGGGTAGAACAGTTATCCTGTCAATTTTAGTGTACATATTGTACAGCTGAGTTTTATTAGAATACTTAATACTGTCAGTGCTTTTATAAAACATTCAAAACATTTATCATTGTGCTTGAGTGCTGTAATAGCAATTTTACTAAAGTGGGCAAGTTGTGCAGATCAACAGGGGTCTTCTGCGTGAGGTGTGTGTCTGTCTCAGATAATTGTATTAGTAGTGCATTTGAAAAGTTTTAGCACTTGCCACAGCAAGGGACACTTCTAAGGTTCAGAAGTGTCAATTTTCACTTTTTTGGAAAAGGCATTCAAGTGTGTATTTCTTGCTAGCCAGTAATCTTCTAGGACAGAGTGGGCATGGTACTTAAAAAGCAAAGAAACAAACAAACAAAAAATCATAAAAACAATACAAATACACACAACAAACAAAAAAAATGGCTTTTGAAGGTAAAATCTGTGCATCTGATGAACAAAGTTCCCTGAAATAAATTGTGGCTTTAGTAACTTTGTAACCTGGACAGTGAATTCATAGGCCCAGGAAAAAGGGCAAAAGGTTTAAATTCTGCCATCAGCCCTTAAGTTTAAGGGAATGTGTTTCCAGTGTCATTTTGAAAAACGAGCATCATTTTCTTCTAGTCTAATGGATGGGATCCCAATGACATGTTTCGTTACAATGAAGAAAATTATGGTGTAGTATCAACTTATGACAGCAGTTTATCTTCTTATACGTAAGTTCCAAAATATTTTGTTATTAGATTTGTATTTAATGTTCTCCCTGGTTTGACAAACTCTATATTCTGAAGATAATTTTACATGCTTTCTAAAGTTGTGGAATCGAGTAACTGAAAAAGCAATGAATGAATAGTCCTTAAGAAACCTTGCCAGTGTTCTGTGAATAGTTAGATGTAGTAATCATTATATATTCCCTTAAATGGGTGCAGTTCATTCCTACTGCAACATTTTCTGAATTTAGGCATGCAATAATGCTTATTTCTTAAAAAAACTTTTATGAATAGGGTGGAAAATACCAAATTGTGAAACTGTCTTTATATAGCTGTTACACCTATAGTTTGTGTTTAACCTAGCAGAACAGTTTGACTAAATCCTAATTTTATTGAGACAATTGATCTCGTAGATACTGGAATGTTGAAATGTTGCTCATAACTAAGGGGGGTTGTGTGCTGTGGATGACTTGTTCAGCAGACTTTTCCAGATCTAAACTAAAGTTTTAGTGACAATATAATAACAACGTGAATATAGAAGTAGTATAAAGCCTGCTCTGGCTGCTTTGGCAGTGTGGACCTGTTCCCAATAGTCTGCAGCTATAATGTTAACTGCAACTGCAAAACAAATCAATTGCAGATGTTCAGCAGCCATTGTGAAATGTCTTTAATGTTTTCCCACTCCTTTAACCCCCAAAGCGTAAACTTATTTTTGAATATGAAGGAATTGCAGCGAATATTTTGATTTTTGTCTACAGGTCTCTGGTTCAACAATTTTATTTTTACTATTCTGTTAAAATAGACTTGTAACATGGTGATAATCAAAGTGTCTTTAATTGGCTTATATTTGAATCCTGGGGAAGCTGTTCATTGGTATACTTCACTGCTCTAAGTACTTTTTGTACTTTTGAACTTTAGTCTTCCATCTCTCTGCTTTATGGATATTAATGGAAACAGATTAAAAACGTGAAGGTGGCTTTAAATTGCCAGAGACACATTCCATTGTTTCCTAGTCAAGCAACTTGCTTTGCATATCAGTCTGCTAAACTGGGAAACTCTTTTCCTGATTCTCCAAGTATGTGATGAGCAGCAGTGTAGCTAAATGCTTATATGAAGGGTTGTAACTGAAGGGTTGTAAAGGATTTATGGTTTGTTTTCACTTCCCAGAGCTAAGCATTAGCAGGTATAGTTTGTCAAACTGCATAAGGGTACAAGTTTGTGTTTTAGCAAGTGTACTGCATTAGTATGTCGATCAGCTGCTGTACCTGCTTCTCTCATCACCAGGGTTCTGAACAATGTCATCTTGCCCATCCCCTTTGTTTCATCTTTAATGGCCTTTTCCCTGTTGGAAAATGTAAAATCATTCTTCTGCTTGTTTAAGTTGCCATCAGTGCTACTGCATCCCTTCGTTTTTTTCAGTTACTTTAAATAAATGAGGATGTATTGGGTGTTCTTCTTTTTTCTTGTGTGTATACTTAATACAGGGTAAGCGAGGCCTGTGACTTCAGGTTTCTATGCATTGTGTTCATGCATATCTTATTTGAGCCAAAGCTTTATGCTGAAGGGTAACGTTTTTATTTAATATTCTTGTAGTTACCATTGATAAGGCTAGTAGATGTCTTGACTGGCCAAAAATGAGTATGTGGGGAAAAACTTGTGATGCAGTAGCTGAGTCCTGGCTTGGAATTTGGCAAAGCCACTTGTTTTCCTAGTTCTGCCACCAACACTTGAGTAATCTTGCATATATTATTTCATACATGGCTTGTATCTTCACCTACTTTCTTTGTTCTTCTTTTTTATATTATTCAAAATATGTGCAGTAGTGATTATATAATGCCCAGGATAGCATGGTCCAAGCCTCAACTGTGGTCTGTATTTTTATGTAGTTTATTCTAAAATAAGGTTGGATGAAACAACTTTAGGAACTCAAAATTAGAATCAGGGACAAAGCACAAAGTTGTTTTATAAAACCTGATACTTCAACAAAAATTGGAACAGGTAAAAACCAAAACCATGGGTGGACAGAAGGAAGTGCCAGGTATGATGGCCATTCTAGTTATCTCTCTCAGTATTTCATTGCTCATATATTGAATTCTTACTTGGTGACTTTCCTAAGGGAGCTACGTATGCTTTTTGCAATATGCTATTACCTAATGTAGATACACAGCATGAATGTTTTTGAGGTCCTAGGACATGGCAAATGAGTCATGGGTTTCTGGTCCCATGCTCTAATGTATTGCATTCATCTTTTCTGCAGTTATTCATAACAGGAAGAGCTGAAATTCTATGGCTGGAATTATCAAAGGATTAAGCATGTAACTCTTCAATTTCAGTAGGATTGGGGACCCTTGTGTCTGTTGGGAATGTGTAAATAGCTAAAGAAATTCAAATTTGGTCTCTTACAGTAGCTTCCTGTCTAAACAACAGACTAAGGCTTTTTATTACTAATGTACTCAACGGTGTTAAAAGTTGGAGCCTTTGCATAGCTTTAGGGACTGAGGATTTTGCAAGTCATATGGAAAAGCTCTGCACCCTGACCTCATCTCTCTAGGCAGGTAAATGACACTGAATTTGCACATAATATCAAACCAGTCCAGGAATATTGACATACTAAAAAAGACAGCAAGTCTACTGGCTTAAAAGCGAGTTGTTTTACTCTGACTTGGTTAGAATTAACGCTATGTAATTTTTGTAGCTCTTTTGTGCTTTTGAATGCATTTCAGAGATTCTTTTCCTTTCCATTGTCTTTTAGGGTGCCATTAGAAAGAGATAATTCAGAAGAGTTTTTAAAACGGGAAGCCAGAGCAACTCAATTAGCAGAGGAAATTGAATCAAGTGCCCAATACAAAGCTCGGGTTGCCTTGGAAAATGATGAAAGAACAGAAGAAGAAAAATACACTGCTGTTCAGAGAAATGCTAATGAACGAGAAGGGCATGGTGTGAACACTAGGTACTTGCATACGCTATGAATAGTATTTTTATTTAAATGATATACGTATTTTGGTACAGTAGCAACTTACTCATTGAAACTGTGCTTTTTCAGCAGGGCTGATTAGGTTAGGAATTTTGTGTAAACAATCATGTGCTGCTTTTGGCACTCATGCTAACTTGTACACCTCTGCCTGGCCCTGTATTATCTCTGTAGTGGAACAGACTTCCCCATTCTGATATGTCACTGTGGTGAATTCATACCAAATTACAGGAAAGGGCAGTGGTTTCGGTATGTCATGGAGAATTTCAGGCATTAGTACTAAATCATTCGGTGTCTTTGGGCTCATAGAAAGTGGACTGTGTGGTCAGTATCAAAAGGCAATTCATGAGGTGAACGTTAGGTCAACATCTGATAGTATTTCGAATTTTCCTTTAGCTTGATTTGAGAAAGATAGAAAGTTATCAGCAGAGCACTTAATCAGGTACTTTTCATTGTCTTTCAGTTCTGTCTTAATACTGACAGAAATTTGCTGTGTTTCAGAGAAAATAAATACATTCCACCTGGACAGAGGAATAGAGATGTCCTGTCCTGGGGAAGTGGAAGACAAAACTCACCAAGGATGGGCCAGTCTGGATCAGGCCCACCAATTTCAAGGTCTGGATCCCATACTTCAGAATTCAGTCCTAACTCTGGAGCAGATCAAAGAGTAGTTAACGGAGGCAAGTATCTGAAGTCTAAACATTATAAAATTGAAGTCAATTATCTGGTTATGTTGAAACTGCATATGACGTGGTCTTAGGATATGTATTTCATAAGCTAGGTTAGCATTCATCATCTAACACAGAGGTTGTGATTTTGATTTGGGTTTAACTTACTGATAATGGAACACGCATTTGACTGCACCGTATGTAGCTTTGCAGAGCAGCAATGTCACTTGTTTTCCTTCTCAAACACCTTTGTCTTAGATGATGGTGCAGTATGTGGGTTTAAAGATTAAAAATTGCTTTATGTATTACTACTGCTAAGCTTTGTGTGGAGGAGTAGCAATGCTGACACCTAGTGAAAGGGAGGTGGCAGCCGAGGAAGCATCATTCTTCCTTTCTGGTGCATGGATCAATTCTGTTTCCCGTTAAAAAGAATAAAGCAACTCACTGACTTCACTGATGTGGGGGGAAAAAAAAAATCATTGTTGGGAAAGTAAGAGAAGTGTTAGGGGAAAAGGAGGCAAAAGTCTTCTTTCTAAATAGCTATTTGAGTATTTTCTGCTATACACATGGGTAATATTAATAAACAGACATCACTAGGCACTGTATAGCAAGAATCCATGTTTCATAAACCAAACACCATTTTTTTGAGATGGATTTCAGCAATGGCCTGTCGTTGAGGCATTATTTTTATAAGTTAAAAATGCTATTATATGAGATTGCTGTGAATAAATGAAAAATGTATAACACTTAAGTGCCTCTATCTGGAGAGGAAGTCTGAGAAACATCTAAAGGTAAGTGAGACTTCCTTTTCAAATACAGAGTCAGCTGTACAACTGAGCCTTGCCCAAACAATGATAACCTTGAAATTTGTTCGTAGTATTTGTGGTTTCTGTCATCCTGTTACTCTGCTGAATGAACACCATATACCTAAAATATTCAGAATGGCTTGTGAATTCAGTTTCTTTGTTTTGGAAACAATTAACCCTATCTCCTAGATTAAAATACTACATTAATACTTCAGATAACTGATAAAGGCATAAATGTCAGGATTCAGACACTGAACACCGCTGTTTTTTGTAAAGATACAGTTCCTAGAGTTGATATTGCTCATCATTTGGTTTGAAAGTAGCAGTTTGTATAGTCAATACTATATGTGAACCGCTGTTTGAGAACCTCTGGTAGCTATTTAAGGACCTTGTCAAGAGTGATGCATACTGTAGAACATATATATGATAGGCTAACAGATCAAACTTTACTGTCTATTCCTTAGTAGTATTTGTAGATCCTAATTAACCCTTTGGGGAGTTTGTGACATTCAGATGTTAAATTTGACCTGAAGTGGAGGAAATAACCTTGCAGAGACTATTTTATTGGTTGCAGAAATAAACTAATTATCCCCAAAGGGTTAAACATGAAAAATCATTTTGTCATATTTTACTTTTTTTTTCTGTTGACCTTTTTCCCCATAATTTTTCTTTAGTTTTTATACTTTCCTTCATATCATTTGTTCTGTCAGGTGTTCCCTGGCCATCGCCTTGCCCATCTCCTTCCTCTCGCCCACCTTCTCGCTACCAGTCAGGTCCCAACTCTCTTCCACCTCGGGCAGCCACCCCTACACGGCCGCCCTCCAGGCCCCCCTCGCGGCCCTCCAGGCCCCCGTCTCACCCCTCTGCTCATGGTTCTCCAGCTCCTGTCTCTACTATGCCTAAACGCATGTCTTCAGAAGGTACAATACCACGATTTGTTCATGTTTTTGTTTGTCTTTGTTTAACTCCTTTGTGAGTTTAATTACAAAATTGTTTTTCCTCTTCATTACTTAACCTATAATTTGTGTTTAACTTTAGTTTATCAGACTATTTCTATTAACCTTTTTATTTGAAGAACTTTACAAAAACAAAATAAAGCTGTGAAATTTCCCAAGTTGGTATGAAATAAACTCAGCTTTGTAAACGCTGCTCAGTGTCTTAACTTAACCAACAGCAACATGCAGGACCTGATAACTTTAGAGGGCAGTTTTAGGAATATAAATTTATATAAAATATCCAATATTTTAATACACTTGTTCCACAAAATGCAGTTTCAAATTTAACTAAATTTTACCTTTTGTAA